GTTAAAGTTAAGATTCTAACAGTAGTTAAACTGATCCTAGTCATATCTAGAAGCTAAGCCATTCCATCGGCATATTTACTCCTAGTAGAGTGTAGATACAACTGCATTCTGTGTCCGTCACAGCGATTTTATAAAAAAAGAAAGTTTTTTTAACAAGGAAAGATGCTTGCTCAATCGCTGACGGTTCCCAGATCGAGATTTTAGCCATTATCACGACGTATTACGAAAATACGAGGAATGCGTGCAACCGCTCAGATCCAGTCCGGAGATATCGAACATTGATGGAATATTACCTGCATACCACCTGTCACGGTACAGCGTAAACAGTTACATTAAAAAATTCAAAACCGCTGTAACTTCACGTGGACGTCGGTGTGTAGAAGGCCGACTGAGATGCTTGGCGTGTCCAGAAGACATTCATACGCTCATTTGCGTGGGAACAGAAACAATTAGACATTAAACAATCTTCAAATTTTTCTTCTTCGACCACTTCTAAGTGCAGCATCTAGTGTCTCAGTTAAATAATGGATATTTCGAAAATAGTTTTTACAAACAACCAATTCGTATCTCTGCGAATCGAATCCAAGCCCTTCTAAGTGACAGACGCACATTAATTCTATTACCCGGTTCGGCGAATCAGTTATAATCTCGGTCCCCTGCCGCTTTTTCTGCGTGGCTTATCCACCGGAGCCGGCCAGACACCGCTAATACAATTGCCGGACGGACCGGATTAAAGTTTTTTTCCCCACAACGCCGGCATATGTCACTGCACGGACGTGCCGGAATTGACGCTCGTCTCCAAGTATTTTATAGGCCGAAGCCTCGAGGCTGCTCTGGCCTTTTTGATATTTCATCTGATAAACGAGCCTGCCCCGTCACAATATCCGTAATGGATTCGAGTGGATGGAGCAGCTCTGGTGCTCCGAGGAGCGGTTTGTGACTTTTACAAGATCGTATTTGACTCCGGCGGCTTTCCGGGTAGGTATAAGCATGTACGTCTTACGTAGACGTCAAAAAACAGTACATGGTGTTGTCAAATTACGTTAACATCGACTACAATGAGTATATTAAGTTACGAATTTACTGCGCGGCCGTTTGGTCGAAAAAATGTCCCTTCAAATCGTGTTTTAACGACAAAGGTTCGATAACGATCCATATCGTCTCCGCCATTGTCATAATTCGTTGCATTGCCGGCTCGCCTTATTAGAAGAGGCTCTTCCTGTCATTGCCCTAACGCGGAATTATTTCTCGGAGCAATAAACACCCATCGCAACGTCCATAACGAAAATTTACCAAAAACAATGGCAACGCTTGAGGTAATAAAACAGATATATAATGATTCCTCGCTAGTTAATTTATAATTTTTCAGCAATTCGTTCCTCTCGACCGACAAGGAGAGGCGAGGAATCGTGGCATCTGCGTCTTTCTCGCACTTTTTAAAGTATAACCGTTGGCTGGTGTCAAGCCTAAATTACTGTTATATTGGCTAATTGCTAAATTTTACTGTCTTATTTATTGCAACGTTGATAAATATCATCGCTAGTCCGAGTCGTTGACTGTATGCTTCAAGATATTAATAAAATGAGTAGAAAAATAAAAAAAGTTTATGGGAATCAGGTGAACATTCGAAGTTTTATTGGAGTTTTTTGATTACACGTAAATCTTAGTATCCACAAGCAATTAACTATTGATTGTTCGCGACTGACAAGTAAATATGAACTTAGATAAAAAAAAGGAAAGATGCGTAGATATATGAATCTTTTACTCAAATTGGAGTAGAATTTCAAATATACATATATTTTTTTCTTTGTTTTTGTTGCCAACTGCAACTTTTAGTAGTCTCCAAAGGGGCCTATTAATTCGCTTTCGCTGACCGGCTATGAATTTCCCACTAAGCCGTAGATTCCTGCGTTGGACCGACGTCACTCGTCTCAGAGGTCACGTGACTCGACAGCGTTATGTACAGAAGATAAACACGAAATTTATAGACCTCTAAAGGCGCTATCTCGGTGTCGTAGAAGCGTTTAAGATTTTTTCAGAGTTAACCCGCGTTATCAGTAAACACGCAATTACATATGCATCGTATCAAAGCAGTCAGATGTGCCTGGGTACCATTTAGCATACGGTACGATTATGGCGGCATAGGCGTAGCTAAATCACCAACAGGGACTTGAAGAGTGCATGTGTAAATTGGGAAAAACACTCTAATAAGTTAGGGAATTTTCCTGGTTGCTTGTTGATACTTGTGGAGTACCTCAGAGTTCAGTTTTTGGTCCAATATTGTTCGATATGTTCATTAATGATGGTGATATTAATATTTAAGGGAAGACTAGTGTTTTAAGACAGTTAAATGAACGTTTTTGTATACCTGTCCTGTAATTGAATGTAATTAATTACATTTTAGTAATCCATACTCCATACTCCATACTTTCACCATGCTTTCAAGTGTTTATGTAGCAACCTACCATCTAACTTACACATATCGAATTACGTAACCACCGCGATCTCCCTGGTATCTCTTTGCATGACCCGCAGAAACAACCCCGCTAATTATTTCCTCATCGCAGCTTTCAGCTACCATCTGAAACGGCATTAATCTCGAATACAATGGGTCGATACGCATCTCGCAGCGTGTGAAGCCACTTCGCTAATGAAAGCGCTACACCCGTTACCGGCACCATGTGTGGGAGTTGTGGAGGTCTCACGATCAGGGGTTGGCATCGCGTCGCGCTGGATATGGTCACCGTCGAGCAACCGGACGGAGAGATAAGGAACAGTTAGGCGAGATACGGTGTACCCGCTGGTGTACGGTCGTTTTCGGAGCTAATAGCGTCGTATTATCTATATTTGAAGTCGTACGTTGTGGACGGGATTTATAGTAGAAGTAGAAGTACAGCTGAGGAATTAGAAGTACGTCTAGCGTACGTCGTGTGAACGTCGAATTTTCGACGTACGCGAGAAAGTCGAATATTAAATGAAATATGACTAACCTTAGTTAAATCAAAACAATATCCTTGTCATTTTTTCTTTTAAAAAATGTATTTTCTAATAATATACAAGATACGTCTAAATCACGTCGAACAAAGGTCCCATTTTTGACGTATTACCAAAAATAGCTTCAAAATTATCAGTTATAGATTAAGGCGATTTTTTCCATTAATTTTAATACCACAATTAAAGTGTATTAAAAATCAGTATGCTTATATCACGTCACGCAAAATCTTACGGGAAAATTACGTCTAATTTACGTCGTAATGGTTAAATTTTCATCACGGCTCATCAAAGATTGAATGAAATCTAATCTTATCATTTTTGTGAAAAAATTATAAGGCAGACAGTGTACAGAGTAGTGCGAGTTTCGCGAATTTCTTTTAGTGAGATAAATTACCTCATTCTCATTACGTTCTGAGGATACGTCTAAATCACGTCGTGCAAAGGTCCCATTTTCGACGTACTCACAAAATACCTTAATAATTAATTCACAAAGGTCATTACATTTTTCCTCAATTCTTTTAATATAGACAACGTCTATCTTGAATTAAAGATTGTCATTTTCACGTCGTGCAAAGGTCATATTTTGGTCATACTAGCAGAATACCTTGATAATTAATAAATATTAGACAAAACAAATTAACAAACTGACTTTTGTGGACAATTCTGATCTTGGGAACAGCCGATAATAGACCTAACAGTCCGATTTTTTAAATTGCAAATTTGTTTTATTGCAACACTTAACCGGGCGTTACCGCATTAATAGCTGAAAACCTCTTTCGTTGAGCAGATATTAACTGTACTGGTAACATTTTCATCGCAATTATTACGGCCATAATTAGTACTGCATTTACATTTATTGCCGTTTGGTTTTTACCATCAGGTTTTATGCTGTTCGCGAGCGTATCGCTTGAAATAGGAGCTGTTATTACAATTATCGTATCGTAAATTTCGTATGACTCGGTACATACTTTCATCGCGTGTTTGTTCATTGTTCCGAGGTAATTTATGATCGTGGTGGGTCTGAACCGTAGAAATCATATGGGAGCTAGATTATGCACCAGAGACTATGGTCCGTGGCGTAACTGATGAGTCGAATAATGCCGAAACAGAAGAAGAAACTTATTAAAAATTAAAGGGGTTCTTTCTATATCTGCTGGCGAGATGCTTCTTGGTTCCTTCCGTGGCAGATAGGCATCTGCAGGAACCCAGCTTCCTGCTGAGAGCGTGTCGTCGCCGAAGAGCACCCGTGTCCATTCACCCACCTCTAACCCCTGACCGAGCCGGCCCGCATTATACTGATGTTCTTTATACCGGAGCAGTATATAAATTATGTACCTCTGGAATCTATTATCGACATTTGCATTTATTACTATTGTTGCTAAACAATAATAGCGCGCAATATGCACGACCGTGTTGTGTGTCTCTCTCGGCTTGTACCATTAAATCAACCAATATTCATTGTTGTTGTCCCGGGCCAGGAGCGCGCGTGAGATTGAGCCAGTTGATAATTTAAAAAAAATAATAATAAAGTGTCTATCGGAATTAAAAAAGATGCAGTGTTACGCCTATTTTATTCGTCAAATTCTTTGAACTGCAAAGCGATTCGACTTCGTTTCGTACATATTGCGTCTCCGTCTTCAAGTCAATGCGGCGACCAACGCGTACATCATTAAATGCTATTACGTAAATTCTTTCGATAAAAGAAAAACGCGATCCGAACAGGCGTAACACGGGGACTTCAAGCAATGCCAACACGGGCTTCATTCGACCATCTACACACGGGAAAACAGTTATTCCAAACAACATATGTTCGTTCTGTAACGCGGACATAATTGCGCCTCTACGAAACAAGTACCTAGCCGGCCGATCAGTACCGGCACCACAACCATAATTATATTATGTATCTCGCGTAGAATTAAGGAATTCCGTTCGTCACTAATAAGTCCAGCGAGAATCTTTCGCGCATTTTGTATATCGCAGACGCTAACGGCCTTTTTTTGTTGCAGGACTTGTGACTGACGTATCCACCGTACAATTTAGGTAAGTCATTTGGTAGGCCATCGGGAGATCCCGAAGTAATAATTAAGGGAATGTCTGCCTGTGTGTCTGTCCGTGTGGCTTGCCTTCACTGGTTTTGTAACGCGTTGTTGATACAGAGAGAGAATCTATGTGGATACCTCCAACTCATCATGGTTTCTTCCATCGTCGTTGACAGACACGCATTTTATGTACGGACATGCCAATGGCAATGGAGTTGAAGCTCAAAACCCTATCGACCCCGGAAGGGATTTGCTTCCGCATCCGAGGTAAAAGAGTTAGGGACGGAAGGATATTTTGGTCTCATAATTTCTTGGTTCTAATTATGTACGTCGTTCAATGCAAACATTGATTAAAACATCTCAAAATTGTTTCAGATTATCGCAAGTAAAAAATCCAACGTCCTTTTCCCCAGACAATTCACGAAGCTAAATTCATTATCTCCACACAGTGTATCCTTTGTAATCGAAACACACTCTTACTGTCAATGCAGCAATTAATAATACCAACAGCACGCCTCATGACTCGGATCTTTATCCCCTCAACGTATCGAACGCTTATCTCATTCACCGCTTCGTTAGGTCATTACTCATCCTTGCATCGTTTTGGTTTGTTTTAATTGCACCTGGTCTTTTTCTGTGTCCAGAACTGTCTCGTCATTCTCACAACGAGACCTTGACGCTCGCTCCATTGTCGATGTGAAGGGGATATTGTCTAGACTTAATCTGTTTTCCTTTGAAAAGTATTTGTTTGTTTTCGTAATCTTCCCGTGGTTCGCGATACGGATAGTAGACCAGGGCGGATCTGTTACCTTCAGTACAACTCACGTAATAAAAGTGTAGATCCCTAAATCTGGGCGAGGTCCGGAACATTTTCAAAATTGCAAAAATGTTTCCAGCAAAAATTAATTTGCCCCCTCTTAGTGGGATATTTCGACAGATCCGCCCTGGTCTATAGCGAGGATCCTGTTTGAATCGTAGTAGGCCGTGACAATCCTGACGTCTTCAAGGACGGATTGACGGACCCGCAAAATTTGAGTTCACAAAAAAGTAATTCCAACCAATGTAGAAGGGACTTTTGTTTATTTTGAGTTTGTATAGCAAGAAATAAACGTTTACTTAACTTTCGGCACTGAAAAACTTAAGGTAGCTAAGAAAAATCCACTGCAGCACGTTATATTGACTTGAATATGCCCGCAAAACACACTCCACACAATTTAAAGTTGCAATTTCGCTTAAATTATCAAATCTCCTAGCTAAAGAACTCGCACCGAACCAAATCAACTTCCCGATTCACCTAGTAATAGACAGCATGACATTTTTCGGTTAAACTGCATTCTTTACATTTTAAATATCTGAATTTGATTGAATCCCGTCGGAACCGCTACCAAAGTAATTGAAATAACATCATCTTATGCGCCATTGTCGCAAATAGGGTTGTACAAGCAGGAAACCAGAATTACCGCAGCTTCGCCTCGACGTCTCGTAAGATATTTTCTCTTGAAAGTGACGCGATATGGAGTCTGTAAACGACGCTACTAAATTTTTTCTAAAATGAAAACCTAGACTTAACACTACTGTTAAGATTTCAATGTGGGGTGCCACAAGAAACAGTTCAAGGGCCAGTATGCACTTTGTCTTTGTATGTAATGTGTTAATCTATGACCACTTGACACGCAGTGGTAGCAAGGTGATATGTGAATATAAAAAAACCTTCGAAAAGAATAAAAAACAACAAAACGAGATGTTAGTGTTTATAAATTGACACTTGCAAGAATATCCTTAAGGAGATCGATTTTTTCTATGCGACTACATTTAGTATCTTGAAACGTGCCATACCCTTCGTGACAAATATTCACTAGCATGCCGAAGACGGAACCTTAGCAAATACGTCAATGCCCCGATTTCCTTCGTTTTGTCCTAATAAAGCATTCGCCCAATAAAGTGTACGCTGCATCCGCACGAAACTCTAAAACAGATCGGTGACGGACACCGACTCGGGACTGCATGATTGAGTAATCGAGCGAGATATGTGACATGCGATGAATACGTTTGGGAGCGTGATTTACAACGAACGGCTCGGACTTGATTTGCAAACGTTAGTCAATAATTAAGCCGTATACCACAAGAACTACCAGGGCTGGACGGCGGACGACACCGAATTGGAACAGGGCAATCAATAAGGCGGGCTTAATCACCTCGCAATGATGCTGATTCGGTTAGCGAAACGGGCGGCTAGTGCGGTCGGTTAGGTCTCGAATGCGCTGTTGTTGTCGGGCTCTGTTTTCGATTTTCTTCTTCGAACTTTTTCTCTGACACGATTTTTCAATCCATCGATAGTGTCTTGTCTGTTAACTGACTTAACCCCATTAAAAAAATTAGTGGGGTTAAGTCAGGGGAGCGTGGTGGCCATTCAAGCGGCCCTCTTCTGCCTATCATCGATTTGGGAAAACTTCATTAAGGCAATCTCTTACATCGAGGCGAAAATGTGGAGGGGCACCATCTTGTTGGGACCAGACATCACCAGAAGGCATATCGTGCTCATTAGGGTTAGGAAAAGTTAATTGCTAGGCCAAAATCAGCTGCAAATGCAAAAAATCCAAATAAATGTCGCCTGGATATTTTTCGAGATACGGCAGTTTTAAATATCCAAAAATAATAACCGCCTATTTCAATCAATACAGCAAATAATACCAGAGGTGAGCTCCATTAGAGCAGTAGCACAATGTGTTTAAGTATGTTTAACAGCAGACGGTGGACATTTTGAACAATCGTTGTAACTCGTTTGTCGTAATTGTTTATCTATGATTGAATATTATATTTTTGGATATTTAATACTGCTATATCTCGAAAAATAAATAATAATAAAGACACTTATCTAGCTTAATATGATCCCACAGTCCGTGTCCGCGAATTTTGTAACACCCTGTATGACAAAAAAGTAGGTATATCACTGAATTCGTCTTTAGAAGTTCTATCTACTTATACTATAAAAAAGATCGTCCTATTAAAAAAAATGACGGTACTGTTACAGATTTGTCAAAAAAGGTTCGAAAAAATAGAAAATATTGTAGGAAAATGACAATTTCCATTTACTAATTGACCTGTTTTAGCGATTTTTTTAAATCTCAACTGGAATGAAAAATATAAATTTTGTTCCATCGTGTATATTTCTAAGACATTATACCATATCGCCTGCATTAACCTGGCCTATATCTCCGACCTCCTCGACTCAACTATGAATATCAATTTCCTTGGTTGATTTTGGAAATATCTTCGGAATTGGAACTAACGGCGCCGTGATATATAACAGCTCCGTAACAGCTATACAACAGATACTAACCAGATTAGTCGGTACGACATAAATCCAAATTTAGCAGGAGACTAACTGGAATCATACAGATACATGCAAGTGCTTTCTGGATTACTTACCTGGGGATATTTATGTACGTACTTGTTGAGTTGAGTTTATAGGCGGGGCTACGCTTCTGCGTGTATCTGTTGTAGTTTGAATTGGCTTTTCACATTCTTGTACAGCGTTAGCGGTGCCTCCGGGGATCAATAATAATATACCGGCCCTTCTCCCACGTAAATTATTAACCGTAATAAATATATTGTCTACCATATGACAGACGAAGTTTAAAATTTTGTAACGGTCCCAACTTATTAATTTTATTTCTTTTGTTTCCCTTGATACGTCTAATTTGATAATAATCAAGTCATTTTTCAAGTGTGTGACCTTGACACTCTCATTTCTTTTGTATATACGTGTTAGGGAAAATTGTGACTCAAAACTGTAACAATGGCAACTTCTACTGCACAAGAATATGCTTAGCAATTTTATTGCTTTATTTTCTGTCCTCAAAATGAACACAATGGTATTCAAAGCCTTGTTTTGTTAGGGATCCCTCAAGGGTCCGATTCGAGGCCCTTGCGAACCCGCTTTGATTGAGCAAAATAAATATAATGTCGTAATTGTAATACGCTTCGTCGTTACATATTAAACTAGCATATTACCATTGATAGATCGTTCAATAAAACTGATTTATCGTTATTCTTGAACGCACTAGGCCGTTATATTTACGTTCGAGCCGTCGATAACTGAATGAGTACTACTATAGTAGCCTGAAATCTCGCTACACCTTGACCCAGTTCCCCGTTGTTGTTATAATAAAGGCAATGTACGCCTTCGGAATAAAAAATCGCGCAGCTCTCAATCTACATAATAATTCGGTTAACCAACGGTTAAATCCTACAAGACGAGTTTTACCACGCGTCAGGCATACACAAAATTTGGACTATATCCGAGGAAATGCTAACGTTGATGTTGCGTGTCTAGGTGATTTTAAAATAGGTCGGTGACATACATAATTACGGCTTGCGAAACTAAAAAAATGTAAAATATAACGAAAATTAGTTTATTTTCTACTTATAGGCCAATCAAGAGCATTAAATCGGTGATTTTGTGACAAAAATACTAGTAGCAAACGGACTGTGCCATTATGTAGAAGACAGTCTGTAGATATATCATTATATGTTTTCAATTTACCATTAATTAATTTTTTTATACACAATTTTATGCAAAAAACGCATTTTTTAGTTTTTTGCTTATAAAACCTAAACTAACGAAGCAATCGGAATACTATAAAGAAACAATTTGTAGGGAATCGAAATACAAATAAAACGAGAGGTCGAACGATCCGATTGGATAATTAGAAACGAAGAAAACCTGGAAAAATCGGAAAATTTAGCGATTTTTTTTTAAATTCATTACTCCATCATTTTTTTAAGTTGTAGAGCTGACCCTGTGCACAAAAGTAGTGAATTATATGTACTTTAAGTGCGCACAAAGCGAAGCGATGTAGGACCATTAGTTTTGGCACGAGTGTAACTTGAATTTTTTTGGTGCAGTATTTTGCAAAGTTTCTGGATGCGTTGGAGGTGGTCCGATTTAAATTTTTCAATCGCATTTTGAAAGTAGAAGTACAATACTACAAAACGCAT